TATATATATATATATATATATTTTCTCTAAGTATCAGAATAGGTTTGTTCATTTATCCACCTTGGAGCGCTCCGAGGCAGAGTTGGTTAAATACATTGGTTTTCGGATTAATACCGTATAAAACATTTCCGACGTTTCTGACATCCAATTCAGAGTGAGCTATATATATGTACACATTAAGGTCCTATCACCCGATGACCCAGGGTGCTCACTAGAAACTTTGTTAAACAAATAATTATTAATAACACAAGCGCCTATCACCTGATAACCTGGGATGCTTATTGCTAATCTAGTAAATAAGTAATTATCAATAAATATGTAAAGCACCTATTTTCTGATGATCCAGGACACTTATTGGCCACACTATTAAATAATAAAAGTTAATTGATAACATATGTAAACCATTCACAATTTAATTGGCGCCCTTGTAATTGACTGATAATTTATTATTTCATAGTAGCCAGTAAGTGCCCTAGATCATTGGGTGATAGGCGCTTGTGTTATTAATAATTATTTATTTAACAGAGTTGCCAGTAAGCACCCCGGGTCATCGGGTGATAGTAGCTTCGCCGAACGTGCTAGCTCGCCAGCGAAAGTAGTCGGTGCTTGAAGCCAGAGAGGGACCTATCTGAAAAAGAAAGACGGAATTCCATGTGTAAATACTTCTGTAATACCTTCAGGAAAGCCATGTGGTATTACATATGGTTTTACGTATGGCATTACATAAGGGGTTTTAGCCTGGTAATGCCATATATAATTCCATTTGAAAATTCACATAGAATTACAAATTGGAAGAAGGAAAAAAATTTTGTCATCTAGAAATAACTGCAGAATACTGTAATGCGTCATTTACTGAGAACAAATAGTGTTACCATCTGGATGATAACTCGAAAACAAGGGGATTTAAGTTATATTTCAGGAATAAAAAAAAAAAAATAAAAAAATAAAATTTTTTTCCATAGAAGTAAAATCAGCTGAACCCCCTTGTTTTGGAGTTATCATCCCGATGGTAAGACAAAATGTTAACTGCAAATAACTTATTATGGTATTTTGCATACATTTCTAGATGACACAAATTTTTTCTTTTTCCAATTAGTAATTCCATGTGTTTTTCTGTATGGAATTACATATGGCATCACCAAGCTAAAACCCTTTATGCAATGCCATATGTAAAACCATGTGTAATGCCATATAGCTTTCCTGAAAGTTTTACAGAAGTAATTCTACATAGAATTCCGACATTTTTTTTCAGGTGGGGAGCACCCACCCTTACCGGAATAAGTGTTTTTAAACATTTGAGTTAGCAACCAAGTGTGTATGCTCCCACTACACCAGGCTCCCATTTCCCTATACGCCAACGTTAAAGGGCGCATTATGCTGATCACGACAATCTTCTTTTACTACATTCACTCTAAAGTGAACAGAGTACTTACAATGAAATTAACGAACTAATCCATAAGCTGGTCGTCCCTGGACGGTTGAACAAAAATGTGCTCGGCACACCAAACAAATCCTGGACGGTTGAACAAAAATGTGCTCGGCACACCAAACAAATCCTGGACGGTTGAACAAAAATGTGCTCGGCACACCAAACAAATCCTGGACGGTTGAACAAAAATGTGCAAGGCACACCAAACAAATGAAAATCACCCGAGTAGAAACTGAAAGTGGGCAATAACTGGGCCCAAGCTTGGCTGCCATGCCTCCCACCTCGGCTGCAACTTGGCACCTGACTTGGCCTTCAGTGGGTTTGCAATACGGCGCTGACTTAGGCGCAGCTTTGCCTGACTTTTACCCAGTAATCGCCCACTTTCGTCTGCAGAGCAGTATAATATAGAGATGTGTATATACGTAAGTATATAAATAGTATAACGAGCGCGCGCGCAGACACACATGGATATGTATACAAACTTATATGCTAATATATATCCAATATCAGTGCAGCCAAAAGTGGGCGATTACTGGGCGAAAGTCATGCCAAGTCAGGCCAAGCTGCGTCCAAGTCAGCGCCGTATTACAAACCCACTGGAGGCCAAGTCAGGTGCCAAGTGCTAAGCTGCTCGGCGAGGCAGCCAAGCTTGGGCCCAGTTTTCACCCACTTTCAATTTCTACTCGGGTAAAGTAGCTGGGCCAGTGAGGCTAGCGTAGAAAGAGAGAGAAGACGAGGGCAGTGAATCCCTCGCACCTTTACGAGTGGGGTCGTGGGACTCGTAGGGCGCAGGCAGGAGGATGGAACAGAGGACAGAGGCACCGATGCATAGTGAGCAGTCTAAATTTCTTGTATATCTATGTCTTACACCCTGATTTTGACCATGCGCCTGCAGTGTAGATACATTTAGATCAATTATCATTTCTGTTGCATCCATTTATTTTAGCCACTATGACAGAGGACAGCAAAAAATTCGACATTAGATTAGTAGACAACGAAAAAGTAAGTCCTTTATTTTTGAACTTATTCGATCTGCTGTTTTCATTACGGGTATTCCTAATTGGCTGCCGAAGGGTAACCTACAGTTCTGACAGCATAGATAACTAACTTAAGGTGGCCCAAATTCGATACGAGTGCAGTTGTATCATACATTTCACCATACGCGTTCGTTACAGTAAAACATCAAAAATATTATGGATGATTTATTAAGTAAAAATAATAGAAGTTACACAGATTCTGAATCATTGCACTAAAATGTGACTGGTGTACAGTTTACAAAAAAATTGTGCACAGAAAGTATGTGTGCATTAATTAATAATGATCTCCCTGCGTCTGTTTGCCCCAAATCTACGTATTAACGTAAACCCAAATGAAAATAAATCACTGCTTAAAACAGCCTAAATGTGCCCAACTGAACCTAACCCAACCTAATTAAGCCCAATTTATCCGTATTGTGTCAAATCGAGTCGGACTGCGCAACACAAGTCATTTCGAACATTATAGCTCCAACAAGAATCGTTAAAAACCAATTACGATCAGTTAGAATTAGTTTATCTCAATTTGGCTAAGTTTTGCTCATTTTGGCAGATTTGTGATTAGTTTATCTCTGTATGGCTAAGTTTGATTATTTAGTACATAATACATATTTCTAGAGTGTTTATATTATGTTGTTGTACTTCAGTGTTCTAGAAATATAAGCAGTAATATGTTATAAAAGGATTATATATTTATTCATTATATAAAACATATTATAGCTCACACATATGACTACTTACAAAATATTGCCCTAACGCACCTCATAGAATCGTTACAATTAGCCCAGCGTTGGGTTAGGTGGATTCAATATCGGAATGTTTTCCCTAGATCGTATACATAGTTAAAGGATCTAGGGAGAATGTTCCGCCGAGCACACACCAGTAAAGGGGTATTCCCAAAAACGGTATCCACAACGCACGAAAATTAGAAATTGTAATATTAATAACATAAGCGCCTATCACCCAATGACCCGGGGAGCTCACTGGTCGCTCTATTAAATAATAAAATATTAATTATTAACACAAG